AACCAGCTTGGAGGTAGATGAACCTGGGATCGAACGTCGCAATTCTCGGCCAAATCCACGCCATCAATGCTAAGTTCAGTGCGCTCTGCCTACCACAAGGAAAGAGAGTTGTGCATTCATCATCTGCGTGGGCTGGAGCACAAAGAAACGCGGCCTCCATCCAATACTCGGTTAGGTTCCGCATCCAGGGCTGACTCCGACTTTCCTTTGTCTTCGGGGGAGGTTTTCGGGCTTCTTTGAAGCACAGTTGGCTCTGACTGGCCGAGGAAAAGTGGTAGCCCGGGGTTATTATCATTCTCATCAATCAGACGTGCAGGGAAGGGGTCCAATCCAGCACAGGGCCTCTGGTTTGTTCTACCTTTCCGATTGAGACTGCTGGCTGTCCGTCTCTGCGCAACCCGATCGGCCACATGCTGTATGCATGTTACTGATGTGATCAAAGCAACAAACAGTTTTTGAAGAAAATGTAAGTTAAGTTTTTCGTTTGTCTGAAGAAGCGCGCCCCGGAGAGTGATTGCATGCTCTTCCCATTGTTCCCCGCAAGCGCAATGACAGCTTGAAGAGGGAGTTCCTCCTCATCTGGCGCCTTGCGACGTAATCTTCATTTCTCTTCAGTTTCCTGACTGGCTTACTCATTGCTTACTTCACCTTGTTTCTTCATTTATTGGGATTTTTTGGATTGGATTTTTTTTTTTTTTTTTTTTCAGAAAAGGAAAGAGAAGCCCGTCCACATTATTTCTGCAACTTATCGTATCATTTGTTGTTAATTATCGTCATTTGGCATTGTTATGTTCATTCTTGGGGATTGATGCGAGTGGCAGCGGGTAGCCAATGCGCGCAAAAGTGGCGCCGCCTTCCCGCCTTTTTCCACTGCACTCTGTGTTCCCCCCTCCCTCCTCTCTTGAGTCTTGAGTCTTGACTCTCCTTTTTTTTTTCCCCATTCCGTCTGAACTAGTCCCAGTTCCCTTCCTCACTCCCTCCCCCTCATCATCATCATCCATCATCCTGTTGTTCCCTCCCCCCCTCGTCTTCTCTCTTTTCCATTTTTTTTTTCTCTTTTCCTTCCTTCCTTTCCAGTCCAGTCTCCAACCCTCCTCCTCCAACCTAACCTTCTTCCCCACTCCACTGACCTCAATTTGTACCAACTACCAAGCGTCCCGGTCAGTTTGCCTTGCACCCACGCACGTCTAAACTTCCTTATCCTTTCTTTGGTCACACATAATCCATTGCCGGCCCCCCTCCTTCTCCCTTCCCTAAGGTCCCTTCCACACACAGACACAGACACAGGCACAGGCATACACACACCACCACCACCCCCCCCCCCCCTCCCCCTTTCCGCCCCCCCTCTTTTCCCCCGTCGTCCCCGTCCCCACTGATCGGTTCCATCAGCGGCACGCTGTGAATCATCCACGGCTGATTTCAGCTGTGTACCGACTCAGGAATCTACTAGTGGTTTGGTACCTCCACCTGAACTAGGAACCGCTGCGTTCTGCAGACCGGGAGAACCTTGAATGGTTGCATTGTTGTTATCTTACTCTTACTTTTCCCCCTGCCAGCTAATAAGCCTCATGTGGCTGTGCAGTGTCTGGCAATAACTTCCAACTTCCTTACTTCTCTCACTCGCCACACCCCCAATCATCCATTTCAGCCACATTACTTGCACGCATTCTTTGCTTGCTCGCTGGCTTGCTTGCAGGGTGATCGTATCTTAAGTCTTTTCTGCATATCAGTTCGTATTGTCTTTTTGAGACTGTTTCATTCTTGCATCTCATTTCATCTCATCTCTCGCTTGTCGTTCACCATCTTATCATCATCTCCTGGTGTTAGTGGTTCCATCTCTCACCGCCTCTCTGCCGCTCTGTCTCTCACCGCCCGAGTTCCATCATCCTGCGTTATTATTCATTCAATCTCCGTCTGGCGATTTGCTCCAGCCTTTCCGCTGATCCGCTTCCAGCAACCACTGCATGCGCGACTCGTGGCCCGTCCGTCCTCCTTTCGTTCGTCATCACTTGCATCCTCGCCCTCTAGTTCTTCCTTGGGTCTCGCAGCAGCAGCACCGCTACTACCACCACCCATCCACCCATCACAGGGAGCCAACCCAGTCCCCGTCCTCCCCTTCCTTCCCCTCCCCCCGGTTTGACACTCCGATCGATACCTGTCGCGTTCGCCTGACGCGACCGCCGCCTTGCGACGGCTCCCTCGACTTTTCGCCTCCTTCCCGTCCTTCCTTGGCCCGCCATGTATAGCACTTCCCACTCTTCCGTCCCCGCTCCGATGAATGGAATCGGAGGAGATCTTGTTGATGGCTCGGGCACGATCAACCCTGCAGCCTTGAACAACGGTATGTGTTTGCTTTCTTGCTTGTCTCATCCTATTACACACCCGTCCACCTGCCTGTCCCGTGCCTTGATGCTCTTTTCAATCAAACCTAGTTTGTCTCTGTTTGCGCATTGCTTCCAAGGTGAAAGTTGAGTTTCGCATCTTATTGGTGTGGTCAACAGAGGTGCTGCCGCTCTGCTGCCGCTGATGGAGGTCATAATGGGTGTCCATTCCTCTTCTATTTGTCCACCGCGACAACCTCCAAACTGACGGCCTTCTCCTAGTCGCCGTTGCCATCCCCCCTTCATCCTTCGGGCCCACGAACCCTAGCATAGCCCCTCGTGGTGTCAAGCGAAGTCGTACCCCAGATCAGCGAGGGAATGCGCGCGCAGCTGGGGATCATGAAGATGGTATGTGTGCGCTGGATTCTCCGGCAATTCACTTTGTCGAGCTTGGATAGAGGATGTACAAATAAAACGTACTTGTCGCGTGCATTTGGTCTTCTTTCGCCGAAGCTTTGTGTTTGAACCATGTTGATTTTCGCGCTTGTTGTCATATCTTGTTTCTTTGCTCGCACCCGACCGTCACTATACTACTTACCTCTACTGGGATCGTGGACTAACGTGCAACCTGGAAACAGCGGACGACCATGGTCGTCGGAAAAGGGGTCGCCCTCCTAAGACGCCACGACCGGCGACAGCATCAAATAGTGACCAGCCAGTCTCGTCCAATACTCATGCCCAAACTCCGCGGATGCAAACCCAGCCTCTCTCAGCTCAAGCATCCGCTAATATATCCCCGCCACAAGCTTCACCGCCCGAGAAAAGCACGCCGACCAAGGCTGCCTTGGTCAAGGCTCTTCCTACTGTACGCGATCACACTACCGACCAGTTGAACGAGGCGGGTGACGAATATGTCCCCAAGGAATTCGACGATGCTGGGGAGAAGAAGGTCGATGATATGGGTTACCTCCAGGGTGGTCGCGAGTACAAATGCCGCACCTTTCGCGTGCCCCTGCGTGGGACCAAGCTGTTTATGCTGGCTACTGAGTGTGCGCGAGTACTGGGTTACCGGGATTCGTATCTGCTTTTCAACAAAAATCGGTCTTTGCATAAGATAATCGCTACCCAGATCGAGAAGGACGACTTGATCCAACAGGATATATTGCCGTACTCTTACCGCTCTCGTCAGATTGCCATTGTAACGGCCAAGTCCATGTTCCGCCAGTTCGGCAGCCGCGTCATTGTTAACGGACGACGGGTACGTGATGACTACTGGGAGGGCAAAGCGCGAAAACAGGGATTCACGGAGGACGATCTCGCAGGCGAAAAACGCCCCGGTGGTAGTACCAAAGCACGCGATGCTGCGGCAGCAGAGGCAGCGGGCGCCGCCAACTTCTTGCCCACCTTGACTCATGGCGATGTCATCTACAGCAACGCGCTGGAGGCTGTGCCGAGCAGCATGACGATCGGCGCACCGCCGTCGGTCTCACTCTCGCAGCAGCTCCCAATGATCCACATGGCGACCACCACTGATGACCCACGTCTGAGGGAGTACAACAGCATGCCTCGACCCCGTCAGGAGATGACCGGCCAGCCCTACCAAGACCGGTCACAGCCAAGTACAGCTGCGGAAATACTAAATCAAGCTTCGCACACCGCTGATTTCAACAAGGTTCTGACCCAACAGCGCAGCTATCGGCAGAAAGGACTGGAAGATTTCTATTCCAAGCAGCGTGAGATCACCGCCTCGGCCGCGCCTTCGCAACCTGGACCACTGGATGCGGCCCCGGCAGCCTCCCAGCCAATGCAGTCGCCCCAGATGCCTTCGACCGGTGTGATTAGTCAAGCTCAGCCACCACAAGCGATGCTTCCCCATCAGCCTCCCATGATATCTAGTCAGCCGGGCTTCCAATCTGCAACTGCCCATCAGCAGCCGCCTGTAGCGCAGTCGCCTGCTCGAGCTGTCCCTGCAGCCCGTCCAGAACTCATGCACCAACGTTCGAATCCTGCCCTACCTACAGGAACGCCACAGCCACCAGGTCCTTACGGGTATCCCTCCCAGCCGCAGCAGATGTGGGGTCAGCCGCCTCCGCAACCTCAGCCATCGCCCATTTCTGCCGCTGGCCCGCAGGGTGTAGCAATGCCGCAGTTCCCATCCCAGATGCACCCTCAGCAGTCTCCGTCGCCACTCGCGCACTCTCTTCCCCAGCAACATGCCTCTCAGTCGCCCCGCAATCAAGCTCGGCCTTCGGCACCTCCGATGCCGCATCCGTTCCCAATGCATCCGCAAACACCTCAGCAGCAACAAATGGCAGCCATGCCTTTCCCTGGAGTCACCGCTGTACAGTATCCAGGTATACCTGCCGCACGGGCCATATATCCTTCCACGCAGGGTCCAGCAGGTCAACAGTACATGGCTGGAGCTCCACAGCAACAGGGCATGGCTATGGGGATGAGTCCCGGTGGAGCGATGTCCGGCTGGCCTCCGGCACCTGGCGGCCCGATGCAACCGGGACATTCGCAGCCTGGTCAATCCGGCACTCCCCTCGGATGGTCTGGATATTGAAATTGATAGAGGCTCTAGCTGGCGTTAGTCCACGATGGGGGCGTTTGCAGGGTCTTTTCTGCAAGATGCTGTTGACATTCGAGAAAGAGACGCATTATTCGGTTTTTTTATGAGTTTGAGTCCTGCTTGATCCGATCTGACCTTCTCCCTATCCCATGATGTTGTATCTGACATACCCCATTTCATTCCTGCTCTCTATTATCCTTTGCCCCTGGATAATGGCTAATGATAATCTGCGTTTTTCTCTTGTCTATACCCTTTGTTATACCCTGTCATGTTTTTGTTCCTTTCTTTGTTCCCCAATGGTGGTTTTGCAAGAATCTGAAGCTGAGTTCCGTAGTCACGAATATGGAGATTGTGCATGGATTTCATATGTCTAGGATAGAGGGGTGGTCAGATGGGATGGCGGTAAATCATTTGTTTCTGCTCTTGGGCTCGGTGTTGTCAGCTCCGGGATATTGTTTCGTTCGCGTTTCCTACATTGGATGATCTTCTTTTTCCCTGTTATGTTTGCATTGATGGTTATCTGTCTCACTCTACTCCGATCTATCTTACAGTGCTTTTATTTGACAACGATTTCATCCGGGCATCCTTATCATGACCTTGTGGCTTTTTTTTTTCCTGTCTTATCTTGCATACAGATATCGGCTTTGTCTCTTCGTCATATGTCTTATGGTTATTCTTCTATGTGTCTATGGTATGCAGATCACGTACAGCCTTCACAGTTTCGGTGATTACTAATTTGACTACCCCCGTTTTACACGAGTTGAGGTTCCTTCTGATTATAGTTGTGATGGCTGTAGATGAGTAAATCGGACTAACTTGGGGATCACGAAGTGTAGTCTATAAGCCGCCAGGCACGGCACGTGACTCATTCCACCCATTCATGCCTGCATCTACAAGTCTTCCCCAATGATTACTCTTTCTAGTAGGCAAGTCTTGCCTCCTGCACTGAGCTCGCTACCCAGCTCATTCATCCGCCCGTGACCCCTGGTCTGTTGTCGCCCCCATGTCGAAAATGATCTCTGGTGTGTCATCGTTTAACCACCGCAGAACATCAACATCACGCCCGACTACAAAATCCCGCAGGGAATAGATCAGGTCAGACCTCTCGTGCCTTTGTACACCATGCGGCGGTAGAGATACGGTAACACAGTATGAATGTCTCCACGCTTGCAGCAGCTCTCCCATGCCGTCCAACACCATCCAGGCCTCATCCAGACCACGACCTTCTATAAAGAAAGATAACAAAAACCGGTCCTATTGGTTAGCGCGGGGTCAATTCCCCCGGCCCCTATCTAGTACTCGGGCTACTCGAGCTCCCCTGGGGAAACGCTTGCTTCCAAGGGAATGAAGAGATTGGATGGCATCTTCTCCCCCTCTGCTGTCTCTGATTTATGCAGGGGGGGGGGGAGATACTCGTTATCATGCTGGGGATTTGATTTGTTACTGGGTAGTAGGTAGGATGGGCTGAGGTTTTTGAACGGCAGAGCGAGGACGATGGTCTCTGCCTTTGGCGGCATTCTTCCTTCTTTTCTTCTTTTCTTATGGGGTAAAGGGTCTTGGGTTTGTGGTTACGGTTTTTTTTTTTTTTGTCATACTACATTGTGAGGGAATCGGTGGCGCTGGGCGGAACCCTGCGCATACAGCAGGCTGCTTCTTTGTTTGGGGTGAAGGGTGGGTGGGCTTGGATGAGGTAGAGGTATTACTATGCGTCACTACGAGAATCAGAATGGATTTCTTCGTTCTTGGTTTGTTCAATCGAGAGACTCGGCGCATAGTGTCAGTTCTGCCTCTGCAGCAACAAAACACACCTGCCTCATCACCCCTCCAGATTATATGTATTACAGTAAGTAGTGGTAGTAGTAGTAGTAGTTACGTGACAGGGTGGTGTGAACCAATGCCTCCAAATGTCCAGATGTTTAACACACGCACACAAAAAAAAAAAAAAAAAGAACAGCCGCTTCCAAAACTTTCACATGCTTGTTCCCAATACAAGAGGTTATAAATCTACCCTTGGCTCAAAGATAAGGGGGGGGGAATGCTCCTGGAATCAAACACACGTGGCCTGGAGGATATATGTAATGCCAACAAGGGTTCCAGAGAAGAAGAAAGTCAAACGAGACCAGTCATGGCCCTGTCGGAAGATAAAACGCAGGGTGGAAATAGGTACATGTGACTGGTGAGCTGGGTGGGGGTATTATTATTCGCACAATTCCAACCAAAACAATAAATCAGAAGTCATTCGGGGTTTTGTTGTTCGCAAATGTGTATGCCTCTGGTTTCTGCGAAGGAAGCTGTTGTGCGCCATATCGCTGGGCCTCCTGCTGCTCAGGGAACTCATAGATGAACTCCCGAGGCTTCGAGTCGCCACCCAGCGCAGCTGATATGGGCATGTCCACATCGGTAGTCGCGTACATCAACGACGGAGAATCCGTCACGGAAACATGTTCACCGCTGTTGTCATACGACATCGGAGCCATGTCCGGCTGCGGTGTGACTTGGCAGGGACTTTGGAAAGAAGCTTCAGGGGATGACATGGAGGTCGCATCGGGCCAGCTTCTGCCTGTCATTGAGGTCTCACATGATGTGTAGTCATGGAAAGAGTTGTAGTGAGCGGGAGCCGACATTGGCGGAGCTCCCCCGTGATATGGATACCCGGAAAGCATATCCACTGCTAACGGTGTCGCCGGAGGAGAGGCGATGTTGATCTGCATCGGCTGCGTCGTGGGAAACAGCTGGCTGGTCGGTTGTGCCGACAGACAGTAGCCTGCATCACTAGGGGTGTTCGGAAGCAGGTGATGCAGATCCTCCGGGGTCAGAGGTGTGGGGGGTGCCAATCCACCCGCGGTCACCGTGGGTTGCAACATTGATGACATTTCGGCTTTGGAATTGAGAGAACCCGCTTCGGCAAAAGTCGAAAGGTTGAGAGGCGAGCGTTGTGCGGCGCACGCCTTTCTCACTCCTGCGTAACGAGAGTTGAGTCCTTGCGCCGATTTCGAGTGTCTCATGCTACCGTAACCAGGAAGTCTCCCTGTGGGTGACATAGCCGACGAGTTTGAGAGCATAGACGAAGATCTAGAGGTACCAATCGCAGCAGGCCTCGGGCGTTTTCTGCGAGCAGCCAGGTCAAGTTCCTTGCTTGCCTCTCTCCACGAAGCTCGGTCGGCCCCGTGAACGAGCTGCGACAACCCTTGCGGAGTGTTGATCCCAATACCTTCAAAGCTATCAGCGAGCTCGTCTGACGAGCCCCGTCGGGACAACTCTAGGTCTTGATGGATGGGATATTGAACCGTATTGTAGGAAGCTTCCGCATCACTAGCCGATCGGTACCCTGAGGTTGGCTTGGTCGACGAATGCATGTGACCAGCCCAATCTTCAGAGTGGAGTTGCATACCGTGGGGGCTTTCAAGGGTGGGAATCGTCAGCGACTCGTCACCTGCCGTTACAAAGTCCAGAGAGGTCTGAGATGGCTCCCAGGGAAGCGTCGTCTGTGCATACGAAGGGCTCAGATCACCCGAGCTGACTCCGTGTTCATCGTGACTATCACTTCGAGGGTTGGCCGCGAAGGTTGTGGTAGGAGATACCGACCCATCCACGCTAGCCGGATGGCTGTTGTCCCCGTCTTGACTGTACCGATCGCGCGCCGCAACAGCAGCGTTCAATGCTCTTTGTAGAGACGCGAAAGTGGCCTCTCGGGCCGACTCACTCCTTGTCTTCTGGTGCTTGGACCGTGAAGAGGAAGAGGTCGTCTTTGCCCGCTCGCTGGGCTTTTCGGTCGATGGCTTGGGGGTATCTTCGTGTGCCTCATCGCTCTTGGTCTTGGAGTCTTGAATCGACTCGGATGATGTCTCTGTGTTGTCTGACTTCCCCCGGGCAGCCTCTTCGGCCTCCGCCTTGGCCTTCTGCATTCTCTCGAATTCTTCTTGTCGCTTCTGTTGCTTCGCCTTTGCCCGACGGTTCTGGAACCAGTTCTAAATACTCATTAGCTTCGAAGCTTCCCCCAAAGTTTTGTTTCACCATTGAAGGCCACTAACCGCTACACGGGGGAGGCTGAGATTCGTTTGCGCCGCCAATTGACGCTTGACATTGCTGCTGGGCTTGGGGTGGGCTTGGAATTGGGCTTCCAAAGTCTCCACCTGTTCCTTGGTCAACCGCGGACGCGAGAGGTTCTCTGCGTATTCGTCGTAGTCCATGATAGGCTGGTGATAGAAATCGACCATGTCGAACGGGGGGTGTGGGTAGAGGTAGCCATCCATCGGGTGCATCATGGAAGGATGGGTCATTGTCGGATCGAAGGCTACCGGTTGGTGATCCATTGGAATGCCCGTAAAGGCGTATGTGTGATGAAGGTAATTCATATTGACGGACGAGGAAGTATAGGAGAGATGAGCGAGGAAGGAGGATATGAGAAGGGTGGTCTTGTATGGGGGAGTAGTCTGATTGGGATGGGGTGGAACGCGGTGCGGTGCGGTGCGGTGCGATGCGATGCGGTGTTGGTGACCAAGTGTTCGAGGGCTCCTGACAAGCTGCTGCCAACGGAGCTGCAACTATGACGAGGACAGGGACTTGGTCATTGAACAATTGGACCACCAAAGACTGACTGATGACGATACTGGATAGGAGTAGGAGGGGTGAATAGATGTGGGATAGGGCGGGAAGATCGGATCTTAAAGGACGAGGATAAGAGATGAAGTGGCGGTAATGATTGGAACGAGTAGACTGGAAGTAGCGGGGAGTATATAATCCTATACTTGCAGTCGATCTGTGGATTTTCGTGTAAAATAGGAAAAAAGAAAACAATTGTCAGAGAGTGTAAGAGGAGTAGCCCAGGAGGAGATAGTGGAGGTGGATGCGACGAAGGAGGATGAGGATGAGGGGGGGGGCGACAGCCAAAACGCAAGAGGATCAAGGAAGGTATAATTATTATGTCCGATGAGGAAACACAGAAAAGGAAAAAGGAGGGAGCGACTAAGCTGACTGGGAAAAGCAAGAATAAAAATGGTGAAAATGAATGACTGAAAGAGGAAAAGGAGAGTAAGAGGTGAGGTGAAGTTTGAAGGGAAAAGGGAAGAAATTGAGAGAGTGACGATTGGGACAGGGACAAAAGGGAAAAAACAAAAAGAGACAAGAAGAAAGCAGAGGATGGAATGGATTGGATTGACAGAGGCAGAGCTAAAGACAGCAGCAGCAGAAAGACAAGAGAGCAAGAGACAAGACAGAGACAGAGACAGACAATTACAGACGAAACAGACAAGACAAGACAAGACAAGACAAGACAAGACAAGACAAGACAAGACAGTACAGAGTTGGTACAAGCAGAGAGGGACAGAAAGAAAGAGAGAGCTCAGTGCAGTGCAGTGACTTACTGACTGACTGACTGACCAGCTCCATAGTTTTGCTCAGTTGGGATTGGTTGGCAGTGAATGGAGTCAGTCGACAGAAGGTGTGGAGGGGAGACTGATGATTGGCGATCGCCCAACCGGAACTGGCTGGAGTTGCAAAGGTGCAAAGGTGCAAAAAAGAAGAGAGAGAAAAAAAAAAAAAGACACCAAGATTCAAGCCTGGGCCGGCTCAACTAGTAACAGAGCCGTATTGTAATCCTAACCCTGCTGGAAAGTCTCTTGTGCAGCCTGCTCTTTACTTTTTTCCTCATTTCTCTCTTTTTCTTTCATTTCCACCATCGATTGTTGAATGATTGTAATGGTTGCTGTCTTCATCAGCTCCCATTAACTTCTAATTCATCTTATCCCTGATCAACAATGCTGTACCACTGAATCGCCCAGCTACGAGCCGGAGGATACCGAGGATCCAGATGGAGCAAGTGCCTGCCCCTTCGGGACTAGCCGAGCTGGCCGGATAACGAACCCATTACCAGGTACCGTACGGGGGAGGGATTGCCCGAATTTATTCTTTGATTTTATTTTCCAGTTCCAGCTCCAGCTCCAGGCCCAACTTACCATCCGCCCCTCCCCCCCCCCCCAAGAGACACCCAGAGAGCAAAGCGCTTGCTACCTAAGGGGGTGGCGGGCTGGGCGTACACATTTCTACCAAGCTGCCTACGAGTACGAAGCCCTTCAGCCTTCAGGAGTCTGCCTCCGCGGTTTGCCCGCTCGCTCTTTCTCTTGTGTCTCCGTACCATTCTTTTTAAAAATAACTCACCCTTCAAGGCTGGCATCCCCCCCATTCCCTGGTGGTTTCCAGAAGAGCAAAACAGAGCGAGGCGAAGGCAGTCAGTTCCGGATATCCCTGGATACTGTTTGTACTGTGTAGTTTACAGTACTCCTGACAGTCGTACTTGTACTTTATGGGCTCCGTTCTTGAGTATGTGTAGCGACAAGTATTAACTTATCGCTTCCGAAGCCTACAGGTGCCACCCCTCCCCCCCTCCTCTTTCTTCTTCTGCTTCAGAAGATCAATTGAGACAGAAAGAACCGGAAGTTGCCAAGAGGGTCTCAGCAGAGTAAAATCAACTCCCCCCTCCGCCATGGCGGTGACGGTTGGTCTACCTATCTTTCTAGGCTCAGGATCGGTCGCTATCGCCAGGCCGATCGTACGGAGACGAAGGAATGGGTCCACGATGCAACCTGTGCCTCAGCCTGAGGATGCTCAATTGCTTTTTCTTTCCTCGTTATCGTCAGATCCGTCCGAGCGGTGCCGGAAGAAGAGGGCGCCCCAGATAGATCGAATTCCCTCTTTCCCTAGAAAGAGGCTGATGATGTTGATGCTCTCGCCCGTGCCAGAAATGCGAACAGACTATTGGCCTGACCCCTCTTTGCGCCTTGGAGTACGATTGTTCTTCTCATGTTATGAGTGTGTGTGTGTGTGTGTGTGAAATTTACCTAGTCACCTAACTGTTGGATGGCTTGGCAGAGATCTAAGTTTGTTGAGTGTGTTCCTCCCCCTTAGATCACAGCCCGCAGACTCAGAGCCCTACGTACCACACTCGGGCCCGGGGCCTTTGGGTGAACCACGGATTACTTGTTCTGCCCCTTCCGCACAATCGCCTCATCTCGACATTCAAACCTTCCCCCCAACGCTTCCCGGGGAATTCAAACTCTGGATTCCAGTCAAAGTTTGACCGATTAAGCTCCTGTGTCAGCTCGAATTGACAGTCTGGCCCATTGCCCCGGGACTCATGATTCAGAACATGACTGGAGGTGCGAAAACTGTGTAGAGCGCTCATCCGTACGCTGAGTTAGGAGCGTTCCCTGGACTTTCGTCAGTTCCTGCATTAGCGCCACTAACACTAAGGGCCGATTTTAGCTCTTACCAGGGGTAGGGGTTCCATCTGCCGATAAAGACCATTGCTTGTAGCAGTTCCAGTTGCGCCCTCCTCCATGGTTAGCAAGATGATACTAGCTGAGGCAGCAACAGCAGCAGCAGCTGCTGCTGCTCACCCTCCGTGCAGGAAGAGCTGCAACGTCACGTCTCACGTCTTACCGTGCTGAGGAAAAGCAACTTTCGACAAGACCGTCACGACCCCTCAAGTGGGTCCGGCGCTGAATAGAGTCAGTTGGTAGCCTGAGGGAAAGTCTGGCACAACCAAGATATGAGTACTCCGTAGGTATGTGGTGGATGGGGGCCCAGCTCAGGGTTTGTTCCTACTGGGCCATGCAGCGATCACGGGGACTTTGGGGGGGGAGAATCGGGGGTGCGGTCCATGGTTTTGTCCCAAGCGGCGCTTAAGATTCACCGTACTTACACTAAAGTACATATTCTGGATCCGGTTTAGTTTCCCAGCGGTCCGAAGATCCTCTCTTGTCCGGGAGACCCCCCAACTTCCGATTGATATTTGATGATCTTAAGAAGAAAAGAAGCAAACCCTTGGGGTCCTATCATATGAAACCCTAAGCACACTTGGCCCATGATTCACAACCAGCACGTCTACCGTAGCCTAGTCCAGTACTTAGGCTCAGGCTGTCATCACATGATGGCAATCCTCCTGTCGGGTTACCGCAAAAGCATGATGGGCATGATGTGATGATGGCTTCTGTCTGGGTCAAGGTTCACTTATTACGTTTAGCCTCGGTACTGTACTGTACTGTACATCCGCAATACTTATTTACACCCACGGTACAGGATGTCAGTACGGTATGCACGCCTACTTTGTCCCATCCTTTGCACTTCCTCGAAAACTCACAATGGCGAAACAATCAAGCGGGGAAGTGGCCGACCAGAAGGAAGCATTGAGTCAATGCGTTTTCTGGGGCCTACGTTTACTGCATGCAGCAAAAGTGAGACTGCGCATTGGCATAATGGCGTGAATAACCTTCATTGTTCCGTTTGGGTGGACCAGGACCAGGACCAGAACCAGAAAGCAGCTGGCACGGATCTCCAGGACCTGCCTGTCAACCTTCTTTTTCTCCCTTCCCGCAAGGTTCCTGGGTCAGAAGAGCTTGGAGTTCCTGGATCTGCAAAGGCCGACCACCCCGGTCAGCACTAGAGTAGCTCGAAAGGTAGCAATGGAGGGAGACACCTCAGGAAAGTCAGCACTAAAAGCAGATCAGACTTGAAGATTAACAATACTGGGGGTGTGTTTGCTGCAAGTTACAACAGCGTGGCAGCTCAACCAGCCTAAGGCCCCACCGCAATCCAATAGTCGACAGATCCTCCGTCGATCAGCCTCAGGGATCGGTGGGTTTCGAACAACGAACGAGTTTCGACTTCCCTTCCCTGCCCCTTCCTTTCGAATGGCAGTAGCTTACTTCCGAATTGGAAGTGAATGGGTTGGTTGAGCTCAATACCAACATTCTTCCCATCTAAAGAATGTGCTCCCAGACAGCGGCCCGTTCTTGCCTGTGGCAGACTGTCAAAAACGACTCGGGACTCAAAAACATGCTCCTTCCCATTTCGGCGCCAGTTCGGTATGCAGTCCGAAGAAGCGCCCGCGCGTCAATCAATCTCATGGGCTTACCTGCCTCCAGTAATTCGTAGTCACTGGAGAACCTGAAGCTGCTCACAGCCTTTCCATTTTTCATGGTCATGTTAGGGGCTTCTTAGTTCGAACGCCATCATATGCGCTCTCGCCACACCGGTGCTCGATGGGCAACCAGTGAATTACTCCGTACTGTATCCGTAACTACTTACGGCTCCAAAGATTCGCCCATCTGATATACATATGCATGCATGCCATGTGTGCATGGGTCACCACCCTGTTCTTCTTCTGTTGCTGCTGCTGCTGCTGCTGCTTCTATGAGGTTATTGAGCCCTTTCGGTCTGTATGCGATGATCTTGGAGACACTGGTTCCTTTGACAGTTAGAACGTTTCCAGGTTCGAATGCTCAATCGCGATCCCATGGGCGATCACTGCATCCATTATGTTGATTCCACAATAGAGTCTCTGGAAGCGCTCCCAAAACTATCTAAAGCCAAGTCCTACTTTTTTGCGCATGCTTCTCTACGGAATACGGCGTGCTTTCATAGAGACTGCGGGCTCTGGAAGGAACTTCGAAACGTGGGCGGACACCAATAACTTGATTCCGGAGCAACAGATCGTCAGTACGCACAGTACGGACGGTGGACGGAGAGGTCGTCAAATCTCATTATGTCCACCGTCATAGCTCCTGACTGTTGCTTGCAAGCTCCTCCCGGACTCCGCTAGGGTGACCGGGGATTGCATTAAACCTGCACTGGTTCTTGCGGGTTCACGTGTGGGATGCAGCTCTTCGGTGAACTTGTCGCGATAAGCGTTTCAGGCCACTCAAAGTGTGCTCCAGATTACATTGACCTACCCACTTAGCATGGGTGATGGATTTGAAGTAGAGGGTGGGGGGTTCATGTTGAGTAACTTAGTCTTTGGACCAACCAGCACTGGGCAACACCATGCATCACATCTAGGAGCTGGCCAACAATCCCTCCATCTACAACGGAGGCAGATTTTCCGGGGGCATGGGGGGGGGGGATTATCCTGTCTGCAATAACCCCCCCCCCCCCTCCCTGAGGGCGATCCCGCAAGCATCCGTACAGATCCCTTCCCCAGTGGTTTGCTAAGGATCAATGGGATCGAACAGAGGCCGTTGTCGACCGACTGAGAGGGGACTCTCAAAATATGGACCCTGGAAAGGGGAGCAAAGCTGCTGCAAGTGGATGCAGAAAAAGGAAATAAAATCCCCGATGATCCTCGGTGCATGGATGTGATTTTTCTGTAATACCTGGACAGAGGGGGGTGCGTGTGCCATAGTGAGGAGCGTCGATTGCACTACAGCCCGCCCTTCCGGGAAGCCTCATTTGACGCGAATCTCACCAAGCCCGTAAGCTCGACTGGGCCCCGCAGGTCGATCCCCTCCTCATGAATGACATGGGAGCATCCCTGTCTGGGTATAAGGTTGACTTGGCACCGGGGGATCCTCCTCTACTGCCTGTAATCCACCACCCGGACAGTTCAACCCTCAAGCGCTTCCATTCCCTTGGGTCTGATCATTGCTCATTGCGTCCGCCGTCGACCAAGGAGACTAGGCTGGCTCTCAAGCCCTGCCGGTCGGCACTTTTAGCATGCGGCAATCATTTTCTATCAGGGGTTGATGGAAGAATTGTAGAAGGAAGACGGTGGACGAAAAGTCCACGCAAAAGCAACGGGCTCGAGCTTTGGGTGTGATGTGATGGCAAGCTATCAGCACCTCCTCATCCTCCTTGTTTGCATGAACCGACATTTGAATGCCTGGTGGTGTGTCCGTTGGTGCAACTTGAGCCGTCCCTGCAGCGCCACAGTGCATGAAGTGGCGGTGCTGACTGGTCAGAGTAAGCTAAGCTCAGTCTGGTAGCATCAGCCACTGCGATCGACACCACCTGACTATCCTAGCGTTGCCTTAGCCCTGAGGCAGTGTTTAGCTTGGTGGACTTAGGAGTGAAGCTGCTGCAGTAGTGCAAACTTACCTGAGTTTACCACATCACCACACCACCAGAAACTTATCACCCCTCCACTAAACTCACATCAGCTCCAAACTCAGATACCTGGCTAACCTGGCTAGATCGTATCAGGATCGTGTCATGTTCTGAGGGAGACAGCCACAAAAAAAAGCAATCCTAGGATTTGTCAGTTCGCCACCACGGCTCGATCCATAGGCCACGGCCCTACGATCGTCCTACTATCCCTGCTCCAGACCCAGGCATCTCGGTTTCTATCACTTTGTGACTGTACGACTCTGTTCAGCGCTTTAGGGTGGCCGCCGCTATTCCTGAGGAGTCCCTTGTTTAGTTCCAATTTCGACCAGAACGGTGAATGTTTTGGTGACGCTTGGCGGACGATGGCACCAGGCGATTCCAATCAATTCATTGCTGCCTGAAGCAATGCTGCTGTAACAATCAAAGCCCTGTTTTGATCTCTTGCTCGGTGGTCGCTTTCTCTTCTGCGAACCTAGTATTTCCGGATGGCAAGCTTCTCGACCCGATCAGCCATCGCTATTGTGGATTCTGCGGTATACGGTCCCGCCGAAGCCTCCAGGAAGTTGTGTCTTCCAGGGAGCAAGAGGGAAGAAAAAAATCACCTCCAGGGAAGCGAGCTCCATCCCTTGCAGAGGGCGTCAGACACAGCTTGAAGGCTCTCTCGGCTGAGAAAGCTCGGCTCGATCTTCCAGCCCGGGAGCTGCAGCAGGGATCATGACGATCCACACGAACCTCGTCTGCGAATTCGACATGTCTGTTTTCCAGAACCTGATCTGCCTCTTCGGTCAACGAGGCAGAATCTCTTGGGACTTGCCATTGTGCGAACATCGCCGGCAAGAAGGAGACATGTCTCTTTTTGTTTTTTTCTGGCCATCTGATGTTTAGCTTCCCTGGAAGCTGTACCGAAGATTCTGCTGGTTTGACTCTGCTCGTGTACCTCTCAAACGGGTGACCCTAGGATATACCGGTAGGTTCGTTTCGATTCTAACATAGCTTATCGCGTTTCAGTCTCGGTCTACGTCGGACAGCCTTGTCTGCAGCAACAAACAAAACCGCGTCTCCGCATCCAGTCGGACTGGGAACTACGGTATTCGGTCTAGACGAGCCACAATTGAACATTTGTACGGAGTCGGTAACGGCTGGTGCGAGAGTGCACTGCGGCAGCCACCATGCAATAAGACCGATGTCTGTTGCTGGTGGTTTGCTCGTTTTCTTTTGAAAACCCCCCATCTTTTTCTTTTTCCAGGACACAGAAACCTACAGAGAGGGCTTCTTGCAAATCATGGACCCATCTGTGGGTGGGTGGGGTGGCGGAGGAGGAGGAAAACAAACGCGCATACATACATGATACATCTCCGGATCCTCACTCTCTAGTTTTGTCGGTGAGCACGCTTGCGACGACCAAATTCCAACAGTCAGCCGTTTAACTTAATCTGATGATTTATTGCATCGATTACACTCTGGAGAACTTCCTATTCCGCTCCAATGGATAGGATCTGTCACGGTAGGGCGACGTTCCTCCATGTCGGTGAAGATGAACCACCAGTGGTCGGACAATATTTTGCCATTCTTCATCGGGAAAATCACTCGGGTTTCTTCTCTGTGTTTGTCCGCTCTTTCTCCCTCGGAATTGAAAGCTTTCAATCCCGGTAGTTTTCTTTTCCTGCCTTTAGATGCAGGTAGTTCACGGCTCACCGCTGGCTACTCCGTGGTTAGCCATCATCACTGCGGAAGGGCAAAAGTCTTTCGTTCGGGCTTTCGGTGTCCAATGCGAACAATCCCATGGAGGTTCCCGAGACACCGGATGAAAGAGACTTGCTCCCTCCTACCTACCGGTAAGGATATTTCTGGTCTAGCCAATCCCGACGGGAGGTGTCGTTTGGGGGTTTCGAGGTGGAGAATTTTTGGGAAGCGTAGGTACAGTACTCGCTTCCTCCGTACGAAGACTCGTCGCCCCCTCCTCTTCTTCTGCTGCTGCTGCTGCTGCTGCTGCTGCTGCAGTTGTGACAGTAAGAGCTGTCTGTGAAACGGGACAATGTGTTCCAGCGGGGCTATGTACATGTACATGCACAGTTCTGCCAAGTAAAGTCACTCCGTAGCCTACCTTCTCCAGACTAATCCCATAGCTATCCCACACCAACGAGCATGGTTACCTCCTGCGCACATGTACCAGAGAACAAAGCCAATCATACCTACCCGGCAGTCAACCAAGAATAATCCCGTTGTCCGAACAACAACCAAACCAAATTAGCCCGAAGGTAGTCTGAGTAGACGAAACAACCACTTCATATACATGCATGATCCGGGGTCGTCATCGCGCTAAGCTCCCAAATTCCAGGTTTTATGTGTATGTACTCCGGACTGTAGTGGCCACGAAGTTATCCTTGCCACAGAAGACAAACGTTTCACCTGGGAGGCGGGGCGAGGGGCGGGCTGGTTCGGATGCCAATTGCCACTGTTACTGTTCTGGTGGCCATCAAGATGTGTTGGTTGTTGTCAGGATAGCGTGCTGGGGTTCTTCTGTGGGTACGGAGGGCTTGGATGTGAGTTGTGGGATGTGGGATGTGGTCTGCTCTGGCTTCGTGGTCTATGGTCTATGGTCTATAGCAGAAGGTGTACGGAGTAGCATAGCGGGTGTTATGGGATATCTTGTTGCAGTTGGTGATTTTGCCACTAGTTTAAGGAGGAGGGTTTTATGGCCAGCCCCTTTTATGTATCTCTCTGGTGGCAGGGTACTGACAGGATAGACATCCTGGGCTCGACTTAGTTCAGTCATACTGGACATCGTTTGCCACAACATCCCTGATTGATACCTACCGGTAGTAGACCAGCGATATCTAGATTAGCTACTGGCAGCAATTGAGCATTGCATTCAAACTATATGCCCGGAATCCTTCTCCACGGATTCGCTCTATCAAAGCTAGGTATTTCTCCTCCTACATTCCCCAACATCAAACCCTATATCGCATCGTCTTTATACCCAATACCCTTCTTATTTAGAGATGCCAATGGCTGGCTCAAAGATATCTCTCATACTGTACCACCACGCTCACAACCAAAACGAAGGAAGTTAACTTCCACGAAACCCAGATCTCCCTCCCATCTACATCCACATCTCCATCCACAACGGACTCTACATCGACAGTACAGCCCATACAAGACTAAAAAGCCAGGACCGCATGAGCAGCATATCCCGCTGCAACACCCGTCCCCACCGCCTGGCCGGAAATTGATCCATAGAGCCAAAGCCGTACTGCCACCGAAACCTGTTCTGATTGTTCTTTAGTGAAGTAGGGCATAGAGGCGCAGTTGACGAGTCTAGACCCTTCGCTTCTAGACTACCTTTATTCAATGTGTAGGGTCTTGAGTACTACAGTAAGGTAGGTAGCTGGGTACAGGACTGGGGAGGGTAGCGGTACATGGGGGGAGATACTATCAGGTTTTCTCCTCCCTCAGGGCCGGTTGGATGGTGTAGACTAGGCTGCCTGTTGGGCTCTGGATCCATTGTACTGTATGTACTATGTCTATAGGCGGAGTATGGGGGTATGCAAGGAGGACTGACTTTAGGTACCCTTCTGGATGGATTTACGGGATCTGATAGCTGGCAGGCTGGATACTTTGCCTCAATGAATGGTGTTGACTCTCTGGATATGTCTGGCCTCTGCTTGTATACCATGGGGATGGGGTTCTACTGGTTCTCAAGAGCTAGGACCTGGGTTACCTTTCTCTGGTTCGAAGGTATGAAGTGAGCGTGGTTAAGGGACCTTCGGACTTATCTCTCAGGGCTTATGGTGCTCTGTGGTGGAAGCTAACTAGTAGTCATGATTTGTATCATAAAGTCAATAGTAGGTTCCTCCAAGGCCATTCGAGTGACTACGTAGTGTGGAGCTTATGGAACTTGGAAGCGGTATGGTCTGGATCGGCGGTCGTCGAGTCTAGCCTGGGACGATGAGGCCTGGTGGTGCGGAATACCTACTTTTACTGGGTCGGGTCTGGCGAGGAATTCATGGGTATTGTACATGGGCATGATACCATGTCTATTCATCTTTTTGGTATTCTGTGTTTGCTGGCTGGGGTAAGGCGGGTCAGAGTACATTTCGGCCCCAAGAGTAGGATGTAGGGTGCGTGTTGCTTAGATCTATGACTGCATGGGCATCGGGTCTGGTTCTGAGTGTTATCTGGTATGTATGCTGGGTAGTTGGCTGGCTGCTGGCTGGCTGCTGGCTAATCTAGTCTTGTCTATCTATGATAGTAAATATGTACAATGCAAATCTTGTAAGGTCTGTGTCTATCGAAGGTGGAAAGCAGATCTTGGCTTGACAGATACAGCAGCAGGTATCAGAAAAATCACCAAAAAGAAAATCTTCATCGAGGAGCGGGGGTGGGTCAGCCACTACTACTTCCAATGCCGAACGAGTCTAGCCCTCTTTCTATCCTTCTATCCGACGCATCTATGCTTCATTGGAAGGCGTTCCGGACCTCCAGCTCAATCCGACCATCCACCACGCTCTTGACACTGATGCTGCGCAGGTCCTCGATGATCACATCCGCTCCGGCCGCCTGAAGCTGCTCCAGCGTGTGGGTCGTCGTCAACGCAATGACCGTGAACCCGGCCGCCTTGCCCGCCTTGATTCCCGAGGGCGCATCCTCCAGCACGACCAGCGCGGGCGAATGCTCCAGACCCAATCGTGTCCGACCCAAGAGATAGCACCGCGGGTCGGGCTTGCCCAGCTCGACGTCCTCGGCCACGACCAGCACGTCCGGGTGCGTCAGGTTCAGCACTCCCAGCCAGCCCTCGAGCAGGGCGCGCGTTCCGGATGTCACCACCCCCCAGCGAGCGCCCGCCTCGTCCAACGCTGACAGCAGGGACCGCGCGCCGGGAATCTCAACGGCGTCGGACCCGTACTCCTGAGGAATACGACCCTCAACGTAGCTGACGTCTGTGGTGTTGTCAGCGCTGCTCGGTTGTGCTTTTCTTTTTTTGATGGGCATTCACAGCAAAGAAGGGCCTGTGTGTTGTTGAGGAGATCGTGTGTTGCTTGGGTAGGCCTCAAGGAGTTCAATCTGAACTGTGTAATGGCGTGCGTGTACAATCGGAAAAGACAAGAGACTTACACTCCCAGTTGGCCTTCGTCGGGTCATACAGCTGCAGCGTATCAATGCTTCGGCGTCCGTGTGAGGTCGCCAGGATCGTCGCGGGGTCGACGCCTAACTCCGCGCCAATTCTGTCAAGGGCGAAATTTCGCCACGGTTAGCGATGGAGAAAAAGTGATACGGGTTGCGGTTTGGGAGTGTTGTATAAAAGACTGGACTGAACTAACTTGTGCCAATGTTTCACGATCGCTGGTGCGGGGGAGAACAGAGAAGGATCAGAGCGTCAGTTTCGATCGATCGAGGTTCCAGTGTGCGACGGGGCGAGAATGCAAATCATAAATAAATTTATAGCAAACTTTCCGAGAGGACTTACCATCAGTTGAGTCGACGATGGTGCCGTCAAAGTCGGAAAGCAGACCGTCGAAGGTGAGGATTTGCGGAGGGGCAGAGAAAGAGCCGGTTGAGTTAGACATGATAAGAGCGGGGTCCGAAGTAGGACAGCGGACTGGTAATGCAGAAGAGTGGAGGGGGGTGCTGTAAGCAGTAACAGAGGTTCCCTTCAGAGCGAAGCTGTAGGATAGAGCGAAGTAAGGAGCGGACACAGTCCTTTGCGAACGAGTGAGGGGAATAAGCCGAAGAAGTAAATCTACCGTGATGATGGGAGATAAGTGATTGATTAGGTGATTGTCCCGCGCGGGAAACAGAGGCGCAGAGGCTCGGAGATCGGCCAAACTTGGGGCCGGTTATCTTAGCGTCAAATCTTGGCGGCACAAAATTGTTGTCCGCAGCGACTCGATTTTCGCTGGCCTCGCAGACCAATTTGCTCGGCCTTGATCGCTTCTTTGTGTCTGTGATTTGATCTCTGCCCAGATTCTTCAAGATGGTCAAGCTCGGTAGGTTTGCTCCTGCACTGATTTTCTGCCCTCGCAGAAACTGACTCTTTCCCTAGGCAAGAACTCCAAGCGGGTGCCCGTCCGCTTGAGGCACAAGATTGAAAAGGCCTCTGCGGCGAAGCAGCGCAAGATGAGAAAGCTCGCCAAGAAGGTAAATACCCTCTTACCACTTTTTCGGGTCGTTATATCCACCTAACACGGCTACTAGAACCCCGAATGGCGGTCTAAGATCAAGAAGGACCCCGGTATCCCCAATCTCTTCCCCCACAAGGACAAGATCCTGCACGAGATCGAGGAGAAGAAGCGCTTGAAGGCGGAGGAGCAGGAACGCATTCGTGAGGAAGCCCGCGCACGCCGCGCCGCACAGAAGGAATCCGGAGACCAGGGCGCTCAGGCTGGCGCGGCGATTGATGAAAACGATCTCCTCGATGACGAGATGGACGAGGACGATTCGTCGAACCCCATGGCCGCGCTGCTTGCTTCTGCCCGGGCTCGTGCCGCCGAGTACAGCGACAGCGAGGAGGATGACGACGACGAGATGGACGACGACGAGGATGAGGATGACGAGGATGACATGGAAATGGAGGACGAGGAGGGTGGCGCTTCCCTGGAGAACATTGCCGCCCCCTCGTTAGCAGCACAGTTGACCTCCAAGGAGAGCTCGCGGAAAGCCTTCGACAAGGTCTTCAAGCAGGTCGTGGACGCCGCCGATGTGGTCCTGTATGTGCTGGATGCCCGCGACCCCGAGGGCACTCGGTCCAAGGAGGTGGAGCGCGCCATCATGGCTGCCGACCGTGGCTCGAAGCGGTTGATCCTTATCCTCAACAAGATCGATCTCGTTCCCCCTCCGGTCCTCAAGGACTGGCTAATCCACCTGCGTCGCTACTTCCCTACGCTGCCTCTCAAGGCCTCCAACGGCTCGGGCAACGCGCACACGTTCGACCACAAGCAACTGACGGTGAAGGGGACCTCGGAGACTCTCTTCCGTGCTCTCAAGACGTATTCACAGAGCAAGCAGCTCAAGCGATCCATCTCCGTGGGTGTGATCGGTTACCCCAACGTCGGTAAATCGTCCGTCATCAACGCCCTGACAGCCCGCATGAACAAGGGCTCCAGCAACGCCTGCCCGACTGGCGCTGAGGCCGGTGTGACCACCAGCTTGCGGGAGGTGAAGTTGGACAGCAAGCTCAAGCTGATCGACTCGCCCGGTATTGTCTTCCCCAACGCGGGCGAGAAGAGCAGCAGCAAGAAGGGCAAGAAGAAGCAGGAGGAGCACGCCCGTCTGATCCTGTTGAATGCGGTTCCCCCGAAGCACATCGAAGACCCGGTGCCTGCCGTGTCTCTGCTGCTCAAGCGGTTGTCCACCTCGGAAGATCTCGTTGCCAAGTTGCTGAAGGTCTACGGCGTGCCGCCCTTGCTCCCCTCCGGGGGCGATCAGACCCATGACTTCTTGGTGCAGGTCGCGCGGAAGCGTGGACGTCTCGGCAAGGGTGGTGTGCCCAATCTGGAGGCCGCGGCGATGACCGTCATCACGGACTGGAGAGACGGCCGCATCCAGGGATGGGTCAACCCTCCTGTGCTGCAGGTGGTGACGACGCCCGCCGACGGTTCGGCCCCGGCTGCGGCTGCGGGTGTGGACACGAAGAAGATCGTGACGGAGTGGGCGGCGGAGTTCAAGATTGAGGGACTCTGGGGCAACGGCGAGGGCGAGGACGAGGAAATGGCTGAATAGATGATTTGTTCAGGATACCAGGCGTTTATGGTTCATAAAAGGTAGATAATTGAGCATGATTTCTTCTACTAGAGCTCTTTTCTCTTCGTAAAAGTTCCTTTACTATAGAGTGATCGCATTATCTCCCAGTCCCAATGATCGATAATTGGCCAAGATTGTGGTTGTGGTCAGTATGACCTGTCAGTATCATTGACCGTCCGAAGAAGTCAGAATATATATAGCAGTATAACGCATAGATAGATGCGCAAACTACACTCAACCACTTGGGTAGAGCCAAACAGCCGACAGAAAGAACCAAACCGCAATGCGACAGACAAATGCAAGACTAGAAAAATATTATTGACGTCCAAGGTAAAATCAAGATCAGACCTTCACCTGTATATCCATGCATAGTTCCGTGTCGTTTCTTATCGCCACCAATCGATAAGTGTGCCAACCCGCAGCGGGAAAGAGTAAAATGGGATTTGATCCACACGCGCTTTTCCTTCCGACAATCCCCATCGCGACGCGTCATTTTTACTTCGACTGAGTCTTAACAATCTCGTTTTGTTCCCACATCGCCTATTGCATTGCTCTTCTCGGCAAGGAGGAAGAATCCGCCTTCAATTCCTGAACTCATCGACCCGCGCAACCTCCCAAGAACCAGAATTTTGGACAGCCGTGGGAAGGAAGGGGACAAGATCTTGGAAAGACTCGATCGCGAAGACCCTCAATCCTCAACCCCAACCAACCCATCCCCCAGAAAAGATATATATAAAACAAGATGGCTCGCAAATCCAGCTCCAACACGACAGCAGCAGCAGCAGCAGCAGCAGACCCCTCCTCACCCACGACGCAATCCCCGCCCTCCAACCCATCCTTCTCCTCTCCTCAACCCGACACCACAGCAGCAGCAGCAGCAGCTACACCCAAGTCCGGGGGAACCGTGGAAGCCACCGAACAGCAACTGAAAGCCCGCGCGGAAGCGGGCGTAGGCATTGAGGTATAACCCAGCGTCACGCTCACCCCTGCCCTATCCCATCCCATCCCACTACATCCATCTTGAGATGTGTCTAACAGCAAGAAACAGGACTACCTCCTCCCACGCTCCCTAACAATCCGCCTGGCCAAATCCGTCCTCCCACCCAACACTTCTATCCAAAAGGACGCGGTATTAGCCCTCCAGAAGGCGGCGACGGTGTTTGTCTCGTATCTGAGTTCGCAGTACGTTTTCCCCCTCCCCCCCCCTACTTACCTCCTTTCCTTTGAAACAAAGTGTCGGTGTGGCTGTCTGGCTGTGGTCAGGCGTAGCTGGGGATTTTGTTTAAGGTGACGCTGGGCTGACTTTTTGTCCTGGGTAGCGCCAACGAAGCCACGCTCAAACGAACGGTCGCGCCGGCGGACGTGTTTCATGCGCTGACGGAGTTGGAGTTTGATTCGTTCCGCGGGCGGTTGGAGAAGGAGCTGGATGCGTTTACGGAGTTGAAGGCCGGGAAGAGGAGGGGGAAGAAGGATGGTCTTGCTGCTGGTGGGGTGACGGTGGCGGGAGGGGAGGGTGCTCCTGCTGCTGCTGATGCGGAAATGATGGAGGTTGATGAAGACGACAAGAATCGCGGGGCGAAGAGGGTTAAGAGGACTGCTGTTGCTGCTGCTGCTGCTGCTGCTGCGAAAGAGGATCAGAAAATGTCGGATGGGGATGGGGATGAGACGCAGGAGGAGTCGGGGCGGGGGGATGGGGATGAGACGGAGGAGGTGGAGGAGGTGGAAGAGGAGGACGAGGACGAAGACGATGACGAGGATGAGGACGACGACGAGGAGGAGGACGGCGAGGAGGAACCCAAGGAGGAGGACGATATCGACCGGGTTGAGGATCTGGATGGAGGCGACGCCAGGCACCGCGCAAGAGTCATGAACCCGGATGTCGACGAGGATGAGACCGACAGTGAGCATGAGTCAGGGCCTGGGAACCAGCTGAGGGGGGAATTGGGTTGATACCTGTCAGATACCTCGTGATGAGAACGCGTCTACTGCTTGCAATGTACAAATGAGGGTTGATACCCAAATCAACTACCGTTATCTCAACACCACAATCATCATATGCCATGAAATTGCCTCCAACAACGCCAGCGGTTGCCATATTATGCATTGTGATAGTACAGTAGAACCCGTAGGCTCGAGGTAGAAATAACTGATCTAAGCCAGCCCCTCCCATCCCTCAGTAAATGCTCTCGTGGACATCCTCCATTTCATGCCGAACACCTGAAACGCCAGCACCCCGAATAGTCTATCATTGGTATCTCCTTAAACCAGATCCGAACAAATCCCCGACTGAAATCCAGCAAAAAACAAAACATCAAGCAGTATTTACGCAGCCGGCTCGTTGAGAAGACTGCTCATCCCATTGGGAACGGATTTGGGCGAGATGGTCTCCGGCTGTTGCCAGCGGCTGCTGCTCCGAGGAGGCGTCGATTCGCCCTTCCCCACAAGCTGAGGAACCATCGGGCCATTGTTGCGCGCAGCGCCTGGAGGCAGAGGAACCATCGGCTTGTTGTCTTCCTTCTCCAGCCTGACAGCCTTGTCGCCGTCGGCCGTGACCTTTTGTGCCTTAGTGACCTTTCCGAAGTTGTTGATCTTCGAGTTCTTAGCCGGCTCGGTCTTCCTCGTCCGCTTCTTCGGCACAGTTTTCTTAGGCGCAGCCTTCTTCGTGCCGTTGGTCTTGGAAGCTTGGAGGACGTCTTGGAGACTGCGTCCGCGGCTTGCGGGATTAGGACACCCGGTTTTGGATAGTGCTTCGGACAAGTCCTTCGAAATCTCCTCATCATGGCTGGAAGACGGAGTAAGAAACCCAGTGGGTGTGCGCTGCTTCTTCCGCGGCGTCTGGATGACAATCTCGACTTCTCCTTGCTCGTTTTTCACCCGCTCGGCCTCGGACAAATTGCATTCATCAAATACCTCCTCTGGAGCATCCCAGCGCTTGAGGCCTGCGAGCCGAGCGACTTCTTCGCAATCCCCCTTAACCATCAAATCCCAGCAGTCCTCGAATTCTTTACCACTGGGGGGTTCGTTGTTGATCCACATGGTCACACCGTTGCGACGACTCCGAATCACCGAGCACAGGCTCTTCACTAGGCGACGAACACCGGGGATTTTTAAACTCGTGCCCACGACAATTAAAGCATCCGGACGGGAGCGAATGTCTGCATTCATGACGGAGGTGATGGCTTCTTCATCCGGGTTGTGTTCGTTGTAGAGGACGAGGCGCGGTCGCATCTTGCCGATCCCGTGACTTCGCTGGCCCGTGTCCATGCGGAATTGGTTGTTGATGACGCACTCGGGACACTCTGGGGCATCCGGCCGATCGAATAAACTCCCATCAAAGTTACTCAAATGGCGGCACTTCTGACACACCATTTTCTCGAGACTGCCGTGCAATTGGATGGTGCGCGGCCATGGCGCTTTGACATTTAGAGGAATCTGGGTGGCCAGCGGGGGCATTGAAGTCTCAATCCCATCGATGTTCTGAGTGTAGAGGCGCGTCAGGCGGTTTTCCTGGCCCAAACGAGCCAGCATGTGATGGAACGCGGTCGGGGAGGTGTTGGCAGCCTCCTCCGACAGCGACCGGACCATGTCCTGGAAAGAAGCGGTCAAGGTTTCATCCTGATACACTGCAGCATCGAAGAGGAGCTTTCCCGACGCCTTGAGGTTGTGTTTCTTTTGCAGGGTTTTGAAGAGACCATCGCTGGAGCGGAAATCGGGAACTAGCAGGAACAAGTTAATTAGAATAAGAACTAGTTGCTGTCATTGTGGGGGGAGTATGAAGGGGTGAGGGAGTAGAGGAAGGGTTCTTCTGGGGTAGGGTGATGACCAGGGCAAGGAGGTTGCATACTTCCTGCAGAAGTGGAAATGCCAGCACCAGCAATGACGACAATTTTGCGATGACGGCGGAGAGTCTTGACGAGATAATCGATCTGCGACTGCTGCTGATCATAGGAGAGAGAGGCGGCAGGCGATAGGTCAAGATGTTGAGTGCAGCGTTCCTTAGGGGCGGCCACCCGACGCTTCTTCCGAGCGGGCGGCAAGTCGTCTTGGCTGCGGGCGGCAGCACTACCACTGCTAGCTTCCTCCGTTTCCTGCTGTGATGGGGGCGGCGACGGATAGAACTCGGGTGGTGTCATGGGAGAGGGCGGAGCTGAGCTCAGGCTCGAGCAATCCGAATCATCATCCATGCCTAGAGAGGCTAGCTGACTGTGTGGGGTTGAACACGAAGAGTTGAAGGAGGAGGAGGAGGAGGTGGTGGTGGTGGTGGTGGTGGTTGAGGTTTGGGTTTGAGATCGTGAATTAGGCGCCATTTGGTCAGACCGGGAGGAGGTGGAGTAGCAAAGAGGAATACAAAAAGTTGAATCACACGAAAAAAGGTGGCCCGGTCGACAGCAACTGCGTTTTGGACGGAAATTGTCGGGTACTCGTACTAGAGATCCGTGGAGAGTAGCATCGAGCACGGAAGAGAGAATTGGAACATCAATTGCAGACGAGGAAGGACCGGTAAGGGGCGCGGGTTCCGAGCAGAGAATTAAATTCCCTCCAGTCTTCCTTTGTTCGGAGGGGAGTAGGAGGGGGGGAAAGAAATTGACAAACGACCTGGAACCAGACACGAAGACGTAAAGATATTTCACAATCAGAAGGGGGAAAAAAAGAAAAGGATAGCGACTCAGACAGAGAGGAAGAGGGAGAAAGAGAAGAGGGAAGAGGACGAGGACGAGACACCAGAAACAGAACAGAACACTCGAGCCCCGTGACTATTGGGGGTCAAGGGAGAATGATGAGGTCAAGTGGGATGATGGTGGCTGAATAGGTGAACAGATGAATGGAACAACAAGGAGGAGAAAGAAATCTAGCCAGGAAGAGGAAACCCTGAAGGAATTGGGACTGGAACACCCGTCCGGCTGCCGGTCAGATCCTCTCTTTTTTCGCTTGCAGCGTGTTTATTTTGACCCACGGGCAAAGAGAGAGGAGCCAGGTTGTCGAAGAGAGAGAGAGATAGGGCACAATGCCAATGCTGGCTGCTGTTGCTGTCTGTAGGTCTAGTGGGTAAAAGGCGGGGGTGGAAGACTAGACAATTAAAAGAAGACAGCAACGGTCGGTATGTCGCGAAGAATGTATGTATTCAATTGGATTGACGTTATAGTTGGTTGATATCTTTGTAGATACTATCTGGCTCGTTGTTGCGTTGCGAGGCTGTGATATATATTATTATATCATCGAACAGGGCAGAGCTGGAAAAAAAGAAGAGAGTAACGAAAATTCTGGTAAAGCCATACGCAGTAGGGGAGTGTGTTTCCACTGTACTGGCTGATCTCGTTACCAGACTCTTACGCTTCTAAGAGAATCGCGGTTAGACACTCCCGTGTCTACTTCCTCCTCCACTTCGTCTGATTGGCGGAACCAGCTTTGTTTTTATAGTCCAGGTTAACTGGCGCAGTGAGTGAGGTGCAGTGCTGATGTTCCCCCTCCAAAAGTCGCCCGGTCGCATTGTGTCTGGCAGACCATTGACAAGTCATCGACCTTTAGGTGACATGTTTCTGGGACTGACAGTGGCCATCATCCCTTTTTTTTGGATTTTCGTGATTTCCATTGAAGTTGCTCAGGGCTCCAGCTGGCTAGTAAAACTTCCAATTGCAGCTAGCCCGCGTCCACCTAACACCTCCAGCTTAATAGCTTGGATCATGCTAGCACACACGATAATGTCCAGACATGATCCCCTTAGACCTGAGACACTCATAACAACACACCGAGACGCGTCTTGAGGTGCAGATCTCACTACCATAGTATCAGCCACACCCAAAGAGCCGTGCACTTTAAAAAAGACCAATCTCTATAATTCCGTACATCTGTTTGTAGAGCCTATGCAGAGTTGACACTGCCGAGCAGCGATCTTTAATTGATAGCTCTAACACAGGCTGTCCACAGCTGCATCCATCCATCCATGGAGACGGTTGACTTGGATCAGGGTTGATGATGTCGCGTGAATCGGAGGTGGGGGAGGATCTGATTGGCTTGCCCGTTGGCCCGGCTACAGCAGCACATGACCTCACATGACGCTGACTAAGGGGCTCCGGGGAGGGATCCACTACCCAAGCCCAGCTAGTCAGTTAGTAACTTACAAATGAAACTAACATCATGAGAAACGTCGGGATTCATGCTTTTTGTTCGCCCTGTGTGTGAGTAAGGGTGGATTTCGAGCTTTGCAGAGCGGGAGGGTATGAGGCACTTCCCTAATCTCTGCAAGAATTCCTAGTACTGCCCTGCTGGCGTCTGCTAGTCGTGTTCTTCGACACCCCACCCCGTTGTGACTGTTTCCGGGGTCTATCGCTCTAAACTATGCTGCCGGGCCAGTGCGATATCGCTCTCCCTTCTAGGCATTTTGATAACTGTTAATCAAAGCTTTCCCCATCCCACCATGCCCCTGATGATGGAGGACGGTATCAATGTTGATGATCTCTTCGGGGAGCCTGCTTCCCTGGAGCTGGGGCTACCAACTACCACTTCCACTAAAGGTCTGGCCGAGCGCTTGGATGAAATGCGCTTGCTCGGTTGCTGCCAGTGAGTCGCACCCCCACAGCAGATCATCCTCAGGATTTGCCAGCTGAAATCCGAACTAGGAAAATCGCATGGTCCAAGTTAGGATGCATTGCCTACATCGCCCAGGATCCGTCCAAAGTTCATGTTCGTTATCTTCAGTGCCAGCCGACTGATGGCAAATGGACGCTCAGTGATGAAACGCCCTTGCTGCCTGTCACGGAAGCCCATGGTGGCACTGCCTTGGTGCATCTGAGTTGGAACGAGTCTGGCTCTGAGTTAGCCGTAGTTGATTTGTCCGGCCGACTATCGATTTATTCCATTCCGATAGCACTCAACAGTGTTAACGGGCTTCGACCACCGTCCTTGGAACCCGACGATAGTGCGCAGATAGTCGGGATGCTGTGGTTGAACACCCAACGCTCCGTGAGTACCCCAGGAAGTTTCGTTTGAATATGATCTTAACCTTCTTCAGGTGCATGCTTTCTATCAAGCCGCCAAAGTGCAAGGTCGCTGGGCTTACTCGCCATATCGTCGTCGGCCAATTGGCCCCTTCCACCCAGCTAACAAGGCTGCGCTGGTCTATATCACCAGGTCTGGAATGATCAAGCTCTTGTATCAAAACCCGGATGGGAAATGGGCCGAAATATCTGCCGAGCTGAAGAACACCAGTTACTCAGACCGGATGTTGACCCACGCGGCATTGACGGCGACCCAAAATGGGATTCTTGTTGCCACATACTCAGCTTGCCAGAAGATCTGTGTCTATCGAGTGCAAATCAACTGGAACCCTCCTCAATATGATCCTGCACAGCAGCCTAAACAAACGCCTCCCCAATTTCCGGTTCCCAGCTTTCGTTTCGCACATTGTAAGGTCGAGACCTCCTGCAGCGTTCCTGGTCCCGTGCGAAACAGTGGGGATCCTTCCGATCATCTTCAACCACCTTTTCCTAACTCTCTCTACTGCCTCACCCGCTTGGATGTTATCCTACCAACGTCTGATAATGCGGCAGGGTCCTCTGCCACCCCGTGGATCGTTGCAACATTTTCCATCCTCCCTCAGATCGCCCCTGATCATCCACACCAGCAAGGACCATCAAGCATTATTGTTCGATGGCAACTTGAATCCGCGCCCCTTACTCTCCACCCCAAGTTCGATGAAGTCACGACAAAGAGAAACAGCATGCAGTTGAAGGCAAGTCTCTCGCAAATAGCGAAGGGGTGGGAATTACAAGTGCTAACTTACATCCAGGCCAAAGCTGTTCTCAATCGATTAGAAGATATCTTTTGTGATAGATACGTCGTGTCAATAGATCACATTGAATATGCCAATGTGTTAGCCGTGACCTACGATGACAGCTCTATCTCTTTTTACGACCCAAAAACCATGGCTGCATTCAACGGGGTTGATGACGCGAACACGGTGACTAGCCTGGCCCAAGCGGGTTTCCACTATTCTCCCGACACTCCAGGTCAGTATTCATCCTTTTCGTCATTGATGAGTAGCACTAAGTGCTAGATTTAGGCCTTCATATCAGCTTTTCACCCAGCGCCTGTGCTGCTGTTGTGTTGGACAGCAGCGGGCACGTCCAGCTTCGGGTGTTGGAGCACTCATATGGAGCAGACAATGGTCTCTACGACGAGAGTACGTCTTTCCCCTACATCAGACTGACTCATGCTCTAATCTCACGACTCAGATAAATTTTCAGCAGCTATCGCTGCATTGACATTGGCATTCTGTCGTGGATGTGGAAGTGAAGTTAACACGGACGATATCTTATTAATATTGATACGTCAACTCTCCCCTGGTCAGTCACCTTGTGCTTCTCATGCCCATGTTTGAGACTAACGACAGGTACAGACGCTCAAACCTCCTTCATCAATGAAGTCTACCGCGCGCTGCCCATCAATTGTAACTTCACCGTGGAACAGGACAAGCTCATGAACCACCCCTATATCCCACGTTGTCTCAGCATTCAGGCTGCACTGGGCAACAAGGGCAAAATTCAACAGCGAGGCTTCGCATCTTCTGTCTCGTGGACTATCCTCCAACTGCGCCACGCCTCGATTCTCTACCCGTTCTTCTTTCAGTATAATAAAGGGGTTCAAGCAGAGCCCCATGACCCTGGTATGAGCACTCTGTGCGCCCGATTGACATCCTCACTAACCACATGCTGCTCATAGATGTCCTTCGTATGGTCCTTGGTAACACCAGATGGGCCCTTGACTTCTCACTCTATATCCTCCACGAACTCTTCAATCTTGCCGACGAATTTGAAGATGTATCTTCCGACCAAGAGGCTTTCAACCAGAAACGTAAGTTGGCGGACTCCTACCTTAGAACTGGAAGTTAACCTTAATGCTTCATACAAGTCAAATCCACCAACTCTCTCTCCCTCATAATCCTCCTTTCCAGCATGTCTCGGGCCTTCCTTCGCTTTATTTGCCGCGGACTGCGCGGCATTCACGCCGGCTACGCCAATGCCCCGCTCACGGGCGACGCCCGCGTGTATTACACCGAGATCTGCCAGGCCGTAGAAACGTCGCCTGCGGCCATTGACGTTTACGAGAAGTTCCTCGCCGGCGTCGACTCCGCCGTCCGCCACGCTTACCACGGCGCCGGGTTTGGCGACGCCGAACGCCCCGGCCCGGAGAAGGAGTTGCTCGTCAGCGCGCGCATCCCGCCGGTCCTGGTGACCGCCGTCTCCACCATCCTGCGGCAGACGATCCCAAGCCTCCGGTCCGACGTGGACCGCATGGATATCTACATGCGCGACTACAGCTGGCTTGGGTTGGACTCGGACCGCCGCACGGAGCTGTACCGCCGCACCCGCGGACTGGACATCATCAAGAAGATTCCCATCCGGCCGAGCCCCTCCACAAACGGGACTGCACAACCGTCGCTGGGTGAGACCAAGTCGAAGGATGGCCATGCGGCGACAGGGGTGGCGGTGGGCCAGCCGCTACGAAGGAGGTGTGTGCGTTGCTGTGAGGTCTCAGAGGGGTCGTATCCGCCGCGTTCGGTGCTGGCGTTCCGGATGATCTTTAAGTTGGGACATTTACGGGCGTGCATTTGTTGTGGGATGTGGATTCTGGAGTCCGGATCTGGGTCGGCGGAGGTGGGAAAGCCGATAGGGGCTTAGGTGTTTTTCCTCCCCTGACTTGCGTGGAAACCTAGTGGTGCTCATGGCATGTGCAGTGGACTTCCAGTTAAAACTCTGGGGAGGATCTAGGGTATGATAAATGATGTATGGACAGTTTAGGTCACGAGCGGCGTGTACATAGACCAATTGTCTTGGCACTGTTGAACTTAGAATCGAATTTTAATTCAAGGATAGTGAAGGCAACAGACAACCTGAAATTGAGAAGGGGCTGCAGAGCAGCTACCTAGTAGGTAAGTACCTAGTCCCTACCATCTTATGAAATGACCAATGCCCGCCATCAACACTACTCGCGGTTACTGCCAGACAACCCTCTACGAACTACCCGTTGAAGCAAGATAAAAGTTTGAGAAAGGTGTGGTATCATGTCATGCAAAGCCTTTCATTGAAGGGAGAGAGCCAAGAGAAAAAAAAATTAATACCCATCGATTAATTTGCAATCTTTACTTTTTTTAAAGACAACAAAAGAACCAATTTGTTAATAATTTTTTTTTCTTTCTTCCCTAGATTGGATAACCGGACCCCTTCCCACACAAGGTGCCACAGGTCAAAACCCCGTTCATCATCAATTTTTTGGTAGAAACAATTGACGTTCCCGTTTCAAAGAAAAACAAACTCCATCCCTTTGCCCCTTAAGGTTTCTTTACATTTAAGCCTGGAGAAAGGGAAGAGTCAGTATTTGGGTTTAAGCTAGGTGGTTCCCGGTCGTCGCTGGCTTGGTGGATAGTCGTACCTTAACAGCGTACTTGCGCTGGGGGAAGTGGATCTCCTTCTTGCGCTGGCGCTCGGTCTTGAGGGTAGCCTCGTGCTTGGTGAGGCGGCGGCGGATGGCGCGGGTCTGCTTGGCACGGAGGTCGAGGGGAGCGTACTTCTTGTTCTGGTAGAACAGGCGGAGCTGGGCGCGCTGGTTGGCGTTGATGACGGTGAGAACGCGAGCGATCGACTTGCGAACGTCGTGGCTGTTTGTAGCGGGTTCAATCAGCATTTCCAGTCCTCAAACTCCTTGAAAAAGTTGTGTGATTGCGGTGATTTGGTCGTGGTTGTGGATGCGAGAGATTGCGCCTGTCGAATATGTCGAGTACTTCTTCTGCCTTCGTGGTGTAATCGAATGCGGGGGTTGGATGACGGTTGACCTGATCGAATTCCTTCGTGTTGTTTCCAATAATTCGTATCCCCGCGAGGTTGTCGAATTTCTCTCGACTTGTCGTCGTGGTGTATATACCGAATGATCGAATTCCTTCCCATTCCTCTCTTCGTCTTCCCCGGTGTTTCCAACAGGTCGCATTTTCTCGCATCGCACACACACACAGATCTCACAAGGGGGCAGAATAAAGGGACTAAAACGCACATTCTCGTGGTCTTCGACGAGGCACCGTTGGCGATCTTCTGGACACGGAGCTGGCTGAGCTCGGTCTTCAACTCCTCCAACTGCTTGGTGAGGTCATCCTTGCTCTTTCCCCAGAGCTGACCAGCCTTGACCTTGGACGACTATTTTTTGGGAAGAATCAGTTTTTCTGTGCCTCGTGCTTCATGATTCCCTGAAACAGCGGTTCAACATACCATGGTGGGCGGCTTCGTGTCGGTATCGTAACGGGTTGTCGACGTGAAGGGGATTGAAGATGGACCGGGTCAATTTGGTGATGGTCGTTGTGGGACTAGGGTTTGATTTTTTCTGGGTGTGCGGCGGCTTAAGCGGGCACGTGATGTGTGGCTGGTGCTTGGGGGGGTTTGCACTTTTGGGGAAGATGTGGATGGTGCAGTGGGCGGTGTAGGCCTGGGTGCCTGGACTGTCACGGGTCAAGTCAGTCAAATTACCGATCGAGTAAGATGGGGGGGGGGGGGGGGGGGGGGGGGCCCGCGGGGCGGGGGGGGCGGGGGGGGGGGGGGGGGGGGGGGGGGGGGGGGGGGGCGGCATGGCACCGGCGCCGGCGCCGGCGCTGCGGACGGAGAGAAGGCGGCGTCATCCTCTCTGACTTGGCGCTTCTTGCGGCCAGTCCAGTCCAGATTCTCCAAAACTATCTCATCTAGACTAAAGTCAACTACAGCCCGTGTGTATTGATGAGAAACTGTGTTTTCCGCAGGCCGGACGGAGGTTTCTCTGACTATTGATGACTTAATTTCCTCTACTAAGTTCTTGATTCACATACATTCATGGCTACATCAACCGGTGCCGGCTGGACACAGCTGCGGCAACAAGCCCGATCTCTGGAGACACAGGTATACCTCCCCTCTGCGCAATCTCGCCATCCCAACAAGATTCTAACCAGCCGCAAAACAAAGACCGAAACCCTCTTCCACACCTACTCGCAATACGCCGCCCTAACCAAACCACCACCCACCCCGTCCGAAGAAGAACTCCGCACCGAATCCCAACTGAAGGAGATCCTCGATCGAGTGCGTGCGCCCAGCCCCAACGCTCCCCCCCCCTCCTCCTTTCATACTAACCTCTGGATTTTGGAACCAGCGAGAAACAACAATAACCCACCTCTCGCGCCTCCTCGACAGCGAAGCCACCCTGACCGCCTCCGCCCTCAAACAAAACAACCTCGCCCGCCACCGCGAGATCCTCGCCGACCACCGCCGCGAATTCGCCCGGATCACCGCCGCCATCGCCGAGGCCCGCGACCGCGCCAACTTGTTGAGTCATGTCCGCCACGACATCGACGCCTTCCGCTCCCAGAACCAGTCCGAGGCCGACTACATGCTCGAGGAGCGCGGCCGCATCGACCAGAGCCACAACATGATCGACGGCGTGCTGAGCCAGGCCTACGCGATCAACGAGAACTTCGGTCTGCAGCGCGAGACGCTGGCCAGCATTAATCGGCGGATTGTCGGCGCGGCGGGCGCCGTGCCCGGCATGAATGCGTTGATTGGGAAGATTGGGAACAAGCGGAGGAGGGATGCGGTGGTACTGGGGGCGTTTGTGGGGCTGTGTTTTTTGGTGGTTCTTTTCTTGAGGTGAGATTATCGGGTGGTGGTGAGTTGGAGATTGGGGGGATGGGGGTATATTGGCGGTACGCGGAGGGTAGTGGTGGTGGTGGTGGTGGTGGTGGGCTGAGGGTGAGGTTTGATTGATTTGACGGTATCAGAAGGCAGGCGTTCGGGGATGTTTCTTGTCTTGATTTGCTATACAGAATATACTAATAGGAGAGCGGAGATATGTAGTCTCCCTCCTCGGTCTTGGGAGAGGTGTCTCGATATTATTGCGTGCTAGCATATATCTATCTTACAGTACGGCAGCCATCGTACAAACTCCCCCAAATGCTACCTGATATGTACATACACATACAACCGCCATATATTTGGCTATCATGCCCCGTAACCTTGCAACAGAATCAAGGCATCACAACCCTAGCCTTCTTCGCCTGCTCCCCCTTCTGCTCGCTGGCCCACTCCGCCGCCGGCGTCTCGCTCTCCACACTCACGCGGCGCTCCTGCGCCAGCTTCCGGACGCCATTGTTCAGCGCCTCCTTCTCCTCCGGCTCGGCATTACCACTGCCCGCCCACCGGATGCGGCAGTTCTCGTCCAGCAGGTAGACATACCCGACCTTGGAGTTCATCATGCCGATCGTCTCGCGCAATCGCTCGTCCACGCCCTTCGTCACCAGGAAGTACTTGTCGTGCTGCGCGCTGGGCAGGTTCCGGCGCATCGACCACATGAACATCTTGACGATCGCCCCCTTGAGCGGGTTCTGCTCGAGGTTGATGTCGACCTTCTGCACGATGTTCTTGTCCTTGGAACCCTCCACCGCCGCTGCGAACGCCTCGTACAGGCCCGGGTTCTTCTCCCGGTGCGTGAACGTCGAGGTCTGGTTCTCGGCCCACAGGCTCGAGAAGATGTTCACCACGGTGATGCGGCCCCGGAAGAGCGGGGTCGTGTCGCGCGGCTGCCGCTTCGAAACCAGAGTGATGCCGCGCATGTTGGGGAAATAGAGCGCCTTGTCGCGTTTGAAGAGGCGCGTGTTCGCCACGAAGCTCTTGCCTTCGTGGTGGCGCATGTTGTTCCATTCGCGGAAGTAAGGCTTGGCGACTTGGCGGGCTCTGTGATGGCGGATTGTGTGGTTAGTTATGTTTCTTCCGTGGTTTGTGTCCTTTTGGTGTAAAGAGGGGGGTGGGGGGATAGGTTAGGGTAATGGCTATTGGGAGGGGGAGAAGAGGAAGGTGTATAGAAATGGACCCTGCGACGAGGTGAGGTACTCGGCCCGGGAAAAAGGCGACGTACAGTTGTTTCCGTCTTTCCAAGTGTCTCTCGTAGTTGACAAAGTCATCTCGTCGTTGCCCAAATGATCGATCGTCGACACCGGTGTTTTGTCCCTCACTTGGAGGCACGGGGGACCCGATGGGTCGGTCAAGAGGTGGAGGCACGAAGTCTTCGCCGGGTGTTGGGGTCGGAATCTTCGAGGCTGTTGGAGAGTAGACGGGTTTCGATGGGACTTTGGTTGAAGCTGGCGTAGGGGAGGGTTTGCTGCTGCTGCTGCTGCTGGCATAGTACCGCAGCGTAGGTCTGTCGAGGTACGCAGTCGCCTTGCGCAATTGACAGCTGAGACAGCGACCGTTTTGCAGGTCTGAGATAGACGACAGCAGCCGGTTAGGCTTCCACATTGTGATGAGTCTTTGGTAGAATGGAGAAGACAATGCGGTGCAGCGATGCTTTTGTTGTAAGTCGTTGCTTGCTGGAGTACAAAACTGCCGTTCCGCACTCCGGAGACTCGGTCGGAATGAATGGGGCCCACCCAGAAGCCCTTCCCCGAGTTTAATTGATTTCCACAGGTCCCGTGACCTGGTGGCATTTTCGTGGTTGGGGTTACGCGTGACTGCCCTCGCCGGTCGTGTCTTCCCTCGGTCATTCCTCTTCGGTCTCGGACTGATTTTATGTGAATGTCAGACAGAAGTCTTGTTGTCGCCTGCTAGGCTGCAGTCACGCAGAAGACTATTACTCATGGCTCAACGGTCTCTGGCTCTGGGCGTCGGGACCTCAGCCACCATATCATGGCGTCCGCGGATGCGGCCAAAAGGGCCTTCTTTGAGGGCTTGGAGCGGCTGGATTCTCTGTCCGAGGACGAGGAAGATCGAATGATTTTGAGATCGCAGTTGAGCATTCGGAAAGCGTTCAAAGATGAAGGCCCTGCTGTCATGAAGTCTAGGTCTACGGTCACGAAAACTGAAGTCCGAGTGATCGCACCTTCCGCTACCGAAGCTTGCACGAAGCGTGAGAAACGCCCTCGTTGCGTTGCTGCTGCTGCGAGATCAGACGAGACTCTCTCACAAGTGACTGCGTTGAGCACCTCAAGGGCAGCGGGAGAGATGCCTCGCAATAAGAGAGCTGCGCCTGTCTCTGGCAAGGGAAACCGGCAATGCTCGTCCAGGATCGTGCCGGAAATGCAGCAGATTTTCAGAGGTCTTGTCTTCTGTAGGTCTTCCTTCACTTTCGGGTTGCCGTCTTGGGGCTGGAGCTTACTTCGTTTGTGTCTCAGTCTTCTTTCCGAACAACAGTGCCTCGGCCCTTCGACGTCTGCGTATCCAGCGCGCGCAGGATTACGGTGCTTCTGCTGCAGAAACCTGGGGCGACCATGTCACTCACGTTATAGTGGATAAGGGACTCACCTTTCACGACGTCATCAAGCATCTTCATGTTGAATCGTTCCCGGTAGGTGACGCAGACAACAGGCCTGGTGAGATCGTTATCTGTTGACACGGACACAGTCCACAGTCGCGCTCGTCGACGAAAGCTACCCTTCTGAGTGCGTCAAGTTTCGCACGGTATTGAACACAGCTCAGGTTCGGTTCCGCGTCAGCGGTACACCTGTCCCTGCAGGAGAGAAGGGCTCTTCGCCTGTGATCGAGCCCTCGGATGGTGGATCCTTGTCGATCAAACCGTGCCGACGAGAGCAGCAGCAGCAACACGAGACACAATCGCACACGCATGCTGAGCTACACAGTCAGGCTACTGAAGGACAAACTAGTGGGCGGCACGCTACCGAACAACAAACCTCTGAGCTGTATACTGCGGAGCAGGTGGCCGAGTGCCCGAACGACCTATATACTGTGTCCGAACCTGCTCGAGAGCGGGATGCCTTGGATGATCTCATCGAAGAAGCAAAGGCTGTGAAAGATCTGGTAAGTACCAACGAAGAAGCCTTCTTGGATTCTCACTCTAATCGATAGTAGCCGTTAGACTCTGAGGATGAGCAAAGTACGGCTGAAACATCTGATGCCGAGGCGTCTGACTCGGGCGAATCACAGCCAAAGAAGAGGAAGATGAGCGCACGTATGAGTGAGGCGCAATCTGACTGGCAGCAGAATTTTGTATGCATGCAGAAGCATGATTCGAAGACCAATGCGGAAAATGCAAACAATCGGACCATTGCCGTCCTACAGCAAATGCTGGACTACTATGATCGATCAGGTGACCAATGGCGCACGCTCGCCTATCGCAAGGCAATCAGTGCCCTTCGGAAACAACCGAAGAAAATTGCCACCAGATCCCAGGCTTTGTCACTGCCAGGGATTGGCACACGTCTGGCCGACAAGATCGAAGAGATTGTGTTCACGAACCGCCTGCGTCGGCTGGAAAACGCCAACAGCACTCCTGAAGATCGGATACTCCAGGTGTTTCTAGGTGTCTATGGGGCTGGCGTCTCCCAAGCCTCGAGATGGCTTGCACAAGGCTACCGGTCGCTGGAAGACCTGAAAACTAGAGCGCCCCTTACGCAGAATCAACGGGTGGGCGTGGAGCATTATCATGACTTCGCCCAGCGTATTCCACGGAACGAGGTTGAAGTGCATGGAGAGATCGTGCGGGCGGCAGTGCGAAAAGTTGATCCAGAGATGCAGGTCATCATTGGGGGTTCCTACCGACGTGGTGCATCCACTTCAGGCGACATTGACCTGATCATCACCAAGCCCTCCGCTACAATAAAGCAAATTCGGACTATCATGATTGAAACCGTCGTCCCGGGCCTTTTCCAGGAAGACTTCCTACAGACCAGCCTGGCTGCCACCTCCCGCGATGATGGATTCAAATGGCACGGGGCCTCGAAGCTTCCCAACGGTCGGCTCTGGCGACGGATCGACCTGCTTTTCGTGCCCGGATCTGAGATCGGGGCAGCTTTGATCTACTTCACTGGCAACGACATCTTCAACAGGAGCATGAGACTCCTGGCCAACAAGAAGGGCATGCGGCTGAACCAACGAGGGCTTTACGCCGACGTGCTACGCGGACCTCAGCGAGTGAAATTGACCACAGGCCGGCTGGTCGAGGGACGCGATGAGCGGCGAATCTTCGAGATTCTGGGAGTTCCTTGGCGGCCTCCCGAGCATCGCATCTGCTGAAGTGCCCAAATAATAATCTTTTTCTGGTTTGCCTCAAGAGACACGTAGAGACAAGACGGGAGCCGGGGTGACAGATAACAATGGAGCTGCCAGTGGGGATCCATTGGTGATGCATTTGCTTTTTTGTCATCCCAGACCGACTTCTCTCCGTGCGTCGGATCTTTTCGCTGTACGGTATGTACTTGACATACATACACGGCAACAGCAGCGAGGAGGCCCGAAATTCCCGCAGTGGATATGGAAGTGGACGGCCGGGATGGAGGTAGAGAGTTTTCTTTTTGAAAAACCTTGTTGTCTTGTTTGTCCTTTTTTTGTTTGGCGGTGATTTGTATTTACGTTGACGTTGAGATTGCCACTATTAATAATGAATACCATATGTGTATATTCCTGTTTGTGTGGTTACAAATAGTTAGTTTATACTTTGTTGTCCCTCCAAGGTTTGAATCGGAGCCGAGACCGAACAAAAGGCGGTCACAGGAATTCTTTAGAGTCCATAGTTGAGAGTGAGGAGAGCAGCCACCGAGCAGAGAAGCGGAGAGGAAAGAAGGCAGTCAGGTAGGGGACTGAGGAGATGGTAAGTTGTGTTTGGGTGTGGAAGGTGGACCAGCCAATTAGCCAGCAATGGTCGCACAGAAAGAAAGGGTTTCTTAGCGAAGTGGTTGATGACGAACAGACCCAAGAGGAGCAAGAGAGTCAGTCAAGTCGACTTTCTTTTTTCGTTTTATCACCAAACTCATCAAGGATCAAGAACCAGCTTCCACATCTGAATCTGATTCCTCGCAGTGCGCATTCACCGAGTTCATCACCGCCTTTCATGCGGTGAAGCGCATCCCAACCGAAATCCGACCAACCCGTGACTTGGGAGGGCGGCCAGTGACAGACCGCCCGTGTAAAAGTCGGTGTTTTGCCGCGACTCGTAACATTATTCCCTTTCATCCCACTCCCTCCTCTTCGCCCCTACACCAATCCTCACCCTCATTGTCATCTCTGCCCCTCTGCAATTGCTGTCATTGCATTGCCACTGCTTTGCGCCTCTGCAGCGACCACTTTCCATCTCTGTTGACCCGCTGAAACGTGATTGCAAGCGGTCAAGAGCCGGTGGTGGGTTCTGCCGGTCGGGATTGTGGCCAACTGCTATTTTGCCATCCGCTCGCCTTCTCCCACCCCTCGTCCGCTTTCCCCTGTGTGCGTCACTTGGGCTCTGACCCCATTTACTGCCGGTCTTTCACAAATCTATTCGAGGAAATTCCAAAACAACGGTGATTAACCTCCCCCACTCCCCCCAAAACAGGGTCTGTGACTCGAGATTGTCCTCGACACCTTGGACCCCTTGGACCCTTGGATTCACAGTCCTGGTGTCTCTTCTGCCACCCACGCCTTTCGCAATGGGCAGAAAACCGAATCAGTTGATCCTCGAGTTCTTCATTCGCGGCCAGAAGCTCGAGGACGCCAGCAATCGCTACCAACACACTTGCAAAGCTTGCGGCGAGAAATTTCCCAAAGGTCGCATCGACAGTCTGACCAACCATCTCGTGAAGAAGTGTCAAGCCATTCCCTTGCGCGATCGTCAACGCGTCTTGTTGCGACTACACGAACTTCCCGATCTTGCCGACGGTGACCCAAACAAAGACGGAACGGGTCCGAACAAAGGCAAGTCCGGGGATCTGCCCTTTGCAGCAGCTCGTCAGAACTTTGACGGGCTCAACGTGTTGGCCGAGGCCTCGAGACAGGTGGGCGCCTCCGACTCAACCAAACGGGGCGGGCCCGCGTACACTCAGTCGTTGACGGTTGGAGGCAAGACGGTCGTCGTGGATCCTGCCCTCGAGGCCGAAGGCTTCCAGGGCAATCCAACTCAGCCAGAGACAGTGGAGGAGGATGCGAAGCCACCTGGTAAGCACTTTGTTTTTCTATTTTATTTCTTCATGTGTACATCGAATTCAGTAACACTACTGCTGGGACCGTCATTCACTAATACTGTCTTCGCCGCCCAGGCACCCCTCAACAAGCTGCTTCCAGCGCCTCGTCTCTACCTTCCCTCCCTGGTAGCTCCCCAGCCGAACCACAACCATCCGCATCTCCTGCAATGGCGGAAGCGTCTCTTGCAACTGACTCGGCCGCCAACGCGCGTCAGTCACAATTATCCATGATCGCCGCTTCAGCGAGTGAGATGGTCCCACACGGATTACCGATGGACCAGGACTCCAGTGTCGGACTTGGTGATGGACTGACTAAGATGAGTCCCCCATGGAACCAGCAGCTATCCACCCAGGAACAGCTCCTTTTCGACAGCCTTCATGAACACGATCCTACCTTGACTGCTGCTACCCAGCGCGCCGCATCTTTTCCCCGTCCGATTGCGATGAATCCGAACTCGCAAGCTAAAGGTTTTGTGAACGAGTTTGGGAACTCAACCAAGCCTACCAAACCGAAAGTGCGCGGTCGGTTCTCCGCTGCACGACGCCGAGAGGTTCAGGAGGTCAGAAAGCGGGGTGCTTGCATTCGCTGTCGTATGCTGAAGAAGCCGGTATGTGTTGATTTGTCTGTTTGGTCAGCGTGCGACTAACAAATCTATGCCTAGTGCTCCGGAGACAGTCCTTGCACCACGTGTGCCAGCGTTGAGAGCGCCCGCCTGTGGAAGCACCCATGCATTCGTACTCGAATTGCGGAGGAATTCGAGCTTTACAACGCAAGTATGTTTTCTGTGATCCCGTTCATGCCTGGATTGGAGCTAACTGTCGAAGATTTACACGCTACGCTGGCATATCACGATGTGAGCAGCATCCGCAACCAGGTCAAGTTCGAACATTACGCTGGTCGTATTGAGGTTACTCACTTTGAGGAGAGCTTGGTCTATGTCACATTTAGCGGACTCCAGGGTCACAAGCCTTCTGCCTCACCGCTTGATCCCCAGCTACAGGGCCTGGCCGACGAGCCACAATTTCAGGGACCTCTTTCAGAGCTCTATCTGCTGGATAGCGATACCGATGATTTGCCGGGAAAGATTGAGATGTACATCAAGAAAACCGCCCCATTCTTCTATGAACGTGAGACTTCAGAGTTCATGCGGCCCACTTTGATGCTTGCTGCGGAGCTAAGTCAGCAGAAGAAGGTAAATCCGGCTCATTACTGGACCCAGGAGCTGCGCCGCTAACAGGTGTAGGATCTGTTGTTGGAACGTGTGTTGGAGTTGTGGATCGCCACTCACATTCTGGTGGATTCGGAACTGCAGTGGAAGACGTACTGCAACCCAACTCTTCCGCCTACCTCGGTGCACTCTCTCGCACAGCCCTCGGACGACGGTCGTACACCTATCGACGAGGTGACCAACACCGAGTCGTATGCTCTGCTGTGCAGCCAGTTGCGTGCCGCGACCGAGAAACGTGCGTCTCAGCTGAGCAAGTCGGTGATGAACGATTTGGAGCGGCGACTGCTGCAGCGCCAGCAGAGTGGCTGGTTTGAAACCTTCCTGGTAGCGATCATCTTGTTGAATTGTGTTGAGAGGACCTGCTGGCTGTTCCGCTCATGGGACGACGAAAACTTCGCTCAGCGTGTAAGTTGTGGACCATCTGAAATGCGCGCAGGCGTGCTAATGTTTCCGCAGTGGCCTCTGGACAAGCGCCCTCCATACTATGCCAGCCAGGGCGATCGGTTCTCGGATATCCTACACATGCTGTTGAAGATGCGCAGCTTACCGCCCAAGGCAACTCCGCGCCCCGATACCGGAATTCTCAAGGCGGTGGACGGTAGCGACGAGAACGCCGTGCGCTGGTTCGACTCTATCAAGATTACCTGTAAGATTTCTTTCTCTTTGTGCACAAACACATTCTCATGGCATAATTAGCTCTTTTCCTCGAACAACGTCAAGCCACCGTCTTCGACCCGGCCGACTCTCGTTCCCTCGACCTGCGCTACGGCGCCAAACTCCTTCCTCCATCTAACGTCTACACCTAATCCTGTTCCCTCGTCTATCTTACCTACCTACCCCTAGCTAGCTAGTTGAAACAATCGTGTGCCATCAACATCACAATTACTATGGATAGAGAGAGAGTAGGAAGAATGACGCCCAAACCAAACAAATCAGAAAAAAACAAAAAGAACCTGCGCAACGACCCTGATGATGAGAAATCCGAACCGAATCCTCTAAGTTTTTTTTCCTATGTTCTTGTCCCTACCACTACTATTCTACCACACATTAAGCGGGTTTTCTTTTTTTTTTTTCTCCAGTTTCCTTTCCATTCTCCTTTCGGGGTTCCATCTGTGTGTGTGTGTGTGTGTAGTCAGAGTCTGTTCCACACCTTTCTTGACTGTTCATCCGTCATTGTTCTTGTAGTAAGGGTGGCTTTTTTATATTCAACGAAATTCAAGGAGAAACGTTATTAGGGTGGGAAAGGAAGGGAGAGAGGAGTCTTGAGTCTTTTGAGGGGTTTCAAGGTGGGAGGATTAGTGTCACGGTTTCTCTTACTCTTAGTCTTTCCTGTCTGATGAGAATTTCACTAGGCGAAGTTGTGGAAGGCCGGGGTAGGTTTGTTACTGGATCCGGATACCGAACCTAAATCAATCATGATTTCTTTTCTTTTCTTGTCTATGGTTCTTTATGTTGTCTTAAAGAACGATTGAATATATACAGTACATGTGTGGGGGGTGGGATGTATGGGTTTCGAGTGATATAGTTTTGCTTTTGCCATTTTGTACATGCAGGCAGAGGATCGGGAATGTCGTCTACCGATGTCTCCTTCACTTCTTCGTATCCTCATCTGTGTTTTGTTTTTCCCTTGAAGACAGCAGGGACGGCTGGGTAATCGAGGGAAATGGTTGGGATTATTTGTTGTTTTTTGCGTGAGGGGGTGCTGTTGTTATCCTGGATGAGAAGGATCATGCTGGAGCTGTATCGGGACTTGCGCGGCTCCTTCTTTTCCATTTCCCATCCCCCTCCCCGGCGAGTCACATCCCGTCCAGGAATCCAAGATCCTTGGTATCAATATCCAATCCAAAGAGAAAAGGGAGAGGCAGATATTATATCATATTACCCGAGCAGTGTCCGGATCTTGCACCCCCCTCCCTCT